TTTCAATGTCAAATTTTAAGGAGCAATGCATCTATGCGGCATTTGTTTGTTTTTACGACAGAGTTAACCAACATTTTTATCTGCAGGTGCTGGAGCTAGGCAGCGCTAGGGGGCAGTGAGAATAAAATGAACTGCACTTTGGCGTTTCAAGGGCTGGCTTCGTCATGATGGCCGTCTACTATTTGACACTCGTTGACGAATGCTCACCGACCGCTAGTGGAACGCACTTGGCGCGCTTTGGCTTGAGTCTCAGTTTTCGGATCCGGACAGCAAACGCGCAACGGCTAGTAGTCCTAAGCAGATAGTATTGGCGGCAATGACAAGGGCAATTGGAATGGCCATTTCTGGCTTATTAGCTGTCGTCAGCCATTCCTACCCAATCCCAAGTGATGTACAACGCGAACCTCGAAATCTTGACGTTATCGATCAGAGTCTAACACTCTAACTATTAAACCCAACAAAAAGGGAGACTGGAATGACCATTTCTGGCTTATTTACCGTATCTGTCCGTGGAAAATTCGCGAAAGAAAGAGCCCTAGACCACGATTTTGGTAAAATATATTTGCATAGGAGCGTGCTCAACTAAGAGGGGCTGCAAAGGCAATGCACCCTAACGAAACATATGGATTTAGATGTCAATTTCAAATTACTCAACATCAGATTGAAACAGAAACAGCCACTATTGACAGGATAAGTGAATGCAGATGACACTTATTTGCTTACACTTTAATCAACTATATGATCTTAAGTTAGACATCATTTTTAGTTAATTATTTTTTGTGCACATCCCACTTGTGTGACGACGGGCTGGGCTACAAGTATGGAAAATGTACACAATAACCGTATGGAACTTCGCTTATATATAAATATGAAAATTTTAAATATAGATACAGCACGAAGGGTTTTCTTTTCACGAAGAATTTACCTTGAGCACCTCCTAATATAACAGGTATTCCACGACAGATTGTGATGTGAAAAAATAATGGCGTCTGCTATCAATCAAAGCATTTACTGAAATGAATGGAAATTGGGAGTTCGTAGAAACATAAAATATGGTAATATTACATGCAAGAGGTTACTTAAGGCAAACTAAAGAGAGTTCAAAGAGTTCAAGTAATAAAAAAGTTGAGATCTTAAAAGTTAATAAAAAAGTTAACACTTGATGGAAATGGAATAAAAAAGGAAACAAAATAACCTCAAACAAGAGTTCAAAATACGAGTGGAAAGGTTTGTTCTTATGAGCAGGATGGATAAAGATTCTGGCGGCTGGCAAGTCATTCAGAATTCCAGTCTGAACTATGCGTCTCATTGGCGGCTGCAAGACCCCTCTTCAGAACACCGCAGAAAAGAGAGTTGTAAGGGGATCTGTGATCCAAAATCCACACCATTTGTGCCAATGGGGCAAAGCGTACTGCTGTCAAGCTGCCGAGATGTTGCCGTTGGTTCAAGGATATATGCAAATTCGTGCACAGTGTCACGCCTATT